CCTTTCCCTCCACGACCACTTTCCACGTCGATGGTCAGCCCAGTCCTGTTACCTGTCTGCAGCGAACATTCCTTTCAGGTGCGCTGAGGCCGCTTGACCGTGTTTGGTCGGTTAGATGACCACACAGAGGAGCAAAGGTTAATGAGTGGAGGGAGCTGCGCCTCAATCCCGGTTCCCTGAGAGCCGCCTCCGTGAGGCCTGGAGACTCGGGGAGACACCTGCACCCGAGGCCTGTGCCGCTCGCAGTGCCGGGGCCTCGGACGCCCCGTTGTGCAGATGGAAAACCCGAGCGGGAGGCTCTGAGTGACCTGCCCAAGGACCTGCAGCCAGTCAGGGAGGGGCAGGAGCCCCACCAGGTGCCAGACACTGACTTGTGCCCCCCATGGGGACTCTGGGGGCCCCCAGGCCTTTACTGGGCAGCTGCACCCCACTGCTGCTGGCCTCTCTCGCACGGCCCCGGCCGGAGGGGCGTGAGGTGGCCGGCCTTGCCTGGCTGACCAGGTTGGGGTCAAGCGCAGAGCTTCCGGCGCCCCCAGGCCCCAAGCCCCCTTGTCCGCAGGCTCTGCTGGGGGACCGCCCCGCGTCCGTCTGCAGCGCTAGTGCCCGGACGCACGGCCGGAACTTCCTGCTACCTCCTCGCTGAGTCCAGGCCGCCTGTCCTCCTCCCCCTTGACCTGTGAGGGTTTATACAGAAACGGAGTGGGCTTTGGAACAAACAGAGGGAGGCAGCCTCACCAGGTCTGCAACCCGGGCAACGGCCTTCCTCTCTCTGGGCCTCAGTTTCCCCACCTGTACTGAGGGGAAGTGAGAGTCCTGTGCCTGGCCATCCCTCGGACGATCAGTCCCCTCGCAGGCCTGGCTGCCGGAGGGGCCTTTACCGGCAGGTCCCCGTGACGCCCCACTCTCCCTGCCCCACAGCGGGGCTCCAGGGGTGGGTGACTCCACCCAGTGTCCTGAGCTGCAGGCGGCACCGCATGCTGTTCTCCCGCTGGCCCGGAGGCCAGAAATCCAAGATCCGGTGCCGGGGTGGTTCCTGTGGAGGCCGGAGGTGCAGTCGCCCAGGCCTCTCTGGGCTCCTGGGACGCTGGTCCCGGTGCCCTCAGCTGCCATGCTGACTCTGCCTCCTGGTCACGGCGCTTCCCTGTCTGTCCTCAGGGCTTTTCTCTGCTTCCCATGAGCCCGCCCTGATGGCCCTGTCCTCACTTGACTAATCCCACCTGCAAGAGCCCTGTCTGCAGAGAAGGTGGCGTTCCGAGGGGGAAGCACTGGTTCTGGGGTCACGGCCGACAGGCAGGTTACCGAGGGGTGTCTGTGAGCATCTGAGCTGAGTGCAGGGGCTCCCATGGCGATGGTAGGAGAGGAAGTGGGAGTCTGGCTGTTCACGTGGCAACTGGCAGCTCTGGTCACAGCGATGGTGGACACCAGGGCCAGGGAGCAGCCCTGCACGAGGTGCTCAGAGGACCAAGCCAAGACGCCCCTGGAAGGTGGTACCAGCAGGCACAGCTCCCGGGCACAGGGGATGCATGCAGATTAGCCTCTTATTTTCTAGAACCTTCTGCTGCACACTTAGTACCCTCTTCACTGCCTTCGATGCCTCTGCTCAGGAACGTACTTCTGTTAAATGGTTTTTTTAAAAAAACATCTGGACTGTTGCTTATACCAAATCTCTTCCCATGTCCCAGCTCAACCCCAACTCGGTTATGAAACTGTGTCATCCGGGCGTCTGCACAGAAGGCTCTATGTCCAGAGTCAATTAAAGGGACACTGTCGTGCTGGCCGGTGGCTCAGCGGTTGGAGCGTCAGCCTATGGGCTGAAGCGTTTCATGTGGATTCCTGGTCAAGGGCAGGTTCCCAGCCCCAGTCCGGGCGCATGCGGGAGGCGACCCATCAATGTGTCTCTCACACCGAGGTTTCTCTCTCTCTCTCCACCCTCCTACCTCCCTCCCACTCTCTCTAGAAATCAATGGGAAAAATATCCTCGGGTGAGGATTCAAAAAAATAATAAAAAGAAGGGAAACTTGTCTATTATTGCAAAGAGCCTGTGGTTATTGGAGGACTTCGGGCGCTTTCCTCACAGACACTCGGGTGTGAAGTCACCATCAGCTCTCCAAGCCGGAGCAAACGGCCTCTGTGCCGAGGAGAAAGTGCCCGTCGCTGATGGTGACACTAACATTCCTGCCGCCGGCTCGGCTGTGCAACAGAACCCACAGGCGGCAAAGCAACCGGCGTCTCCTCCTCACCATGGTGGCGGCTGGAGGTCAAGATCCAGGCGCCCGACGGTCCTGTGTCCAGTGAGGGCGGCATCCAGGAGTGCAGACGGGGGTGTGTCCTCCAGGTGCAGACGGGGGTGAGTCCTCCAGGTGCAGAGATGGGGGTGAGTCCTCCAGGTGCAGAGATGGGGGTGTGTCCTCGTGCAGGGAGGTGCAGAGATGGGGGTGTGTCCTCCAGGTGCAGAGATGGGGGTGTGTCCTCCAGGTGCAGAGATGGGGGTGTGTCCTCCAGGTGCAGAGATGGGGGTGTGTCCTCCAGGTGCAGAGATGGGGGTGTGTCCTCCAGGTGCAGAGATGGGGGTGTGTCCTCCAGGTGCAGAGATGGGGGTGTGTCCTCCAGGTGCAGAGATGGGGGTGTGTCCTCCAGGTGCAGAGATGGGGGTGTGTCCTCCAGGTGCAGAGATGGGGGTGTGTCCTCCAGGTGCAGAGATGGGGGTGTGTCCTCCAGGTGCAGAGATGGGGGTGTGTCCTCCAGGTGCACAGACGGGGGTGAGTCCTCCAGGTGCAGACGGGGGTGTGTCCTCCAGGTGAGCCTGATGGGTGTGTCCTCCAGGAGTGCAGACGGGGGTGTGTCCTGTGTCCTCCTGGTGGCTGGTAGGAGGGTTGCTGAATTCTGGCTGGAAGTGGTGGGGTGATAGGTAGCACTGCTTTTGAGGGGAGGGGAGGGGAGAGATTGAGCTCCCCTGGGACAAGGGCACCCATCCCTCATCACCTTCCAAAGTCCCCACCCCCTGTTACCATCCCATTGGGGCTTCGGTTTCAAACTATGAAATCTGGGGGGATTCCATAGTCACTCCCATAGGAAAGGTCTGTCCGGCATGAGGAAATGCAGGAGGTGGAGCCGCATTCACAGGCCCCCGCCTGTGGCCCGGGAGCTGCCCAGCCAGGCTCCATACCTTCCGTCCTCAGACCTTGGTGCCGTCACGGCCACCAGCACCGACGTGCATCCGTTTTCATTTTAGCTCCTTTTCTCGGGGTCGTGGATGATGTTTTAGCGCCTGCATTTCCGAGGAGGTGTCTGGTACCCATGACTCTTGGTTTACAGAGGAAACCGGTCCACCTTCTGCTTGTTAACAATTTAACAAAAACCACCCCAGCAGCCGCAGCGGCTGTGGCGCAGCCCAAGGCACCTGTGTCCACAGCCCTCCCGGGTCATGGCCCTGCCGCTGCCTCAGGTCACTGTCCCCGCGGGGGCGGCCCTCAGGCGGAGCGGTGCCTCAAGAGCAGAGGTCCTGGGACGCACCAACCTGAGCTGGTCTGGAATGAGGGCAGGACGAGGGCCGTGAGGAGGGAGAGCAGGAGGGACCCTCCGCGGACAGCCGCTGTGGGTGCCCCTAGGCCTCCTGGGTGTGGGTGTTGTTCAGAATGTCCCTGACCTGGGAGAGATCTCACGGAGACACGTGACGTGTCCTGGGGCCGGGGCAGTGACACCAGGGGGAGAGCTAACCCTCCCCAAATGTGGCCGCCCCTTGGGGCCCTGTGCCCGCCTGGGACCCAAATGGTGCGGCCCCGAAAGAAGACACAGACCCCGGCTAGAGATCCGTCGTGCTACAAATGTGGCAACACCTTTTATTTCGAGGAAAGATGTGTGAACATCAGCATGACAAAGTTTGTACAAAGTCCACAATTTAAAAATGAAGTATCACTGCAACTCGTGATTCCACACATTTTAGCAAAATTAAAGTGTCAACAAACCCATGCCGTGTCGTACAAAAATAAATCAAACTTCAGTTCCACAGAGCACAATAAATATTTATACAAAATTCTGTCTTAATAAATGGTCACTTAAATTAACTTAGAAATGAATATGAACAATAAGTTATAATAAATAAACTCTGATGACTCACGATAATTCCATATGAAAGGTCAGCATTCTAGTATGAGACACTGTGATCCCCTATATAATATCACAGGTGACTTTGATTGGATATTATTACCAATGTTAGGTGAGCAGCAGATTTGTGCTTAAAACCCCTTTCCATTGTACACAGGTGATAACAAGAATCCAAAACCGAGACTACCTATTACTCTACGGGAAGCATCACTATATGGCGAGAAGCTGCAGACACACGGGGATGCAGATGCCGGTATGAACAGCGGCGGCGGCCGGGCGTGGCAGCGGGTGCCGGCCCTGGCGTCAGCTCTCGAAGGCAATTCTGAGCGTGGCAGCTACGACTACGCGCTAACAGAGAGGGCCCCGAGCAGCTGCGGAGCCCCGGTCATGACACACCTTTTCCCAGCTCGTCACGGGAGTCCTTGTGAGAATGGAGTGTGTGTACAGTGAGCGTATAAAGTGCCGCTGGGATGTGGTTATATACACGTCCACGAGGTCGGGCATTGGATCAGAGTCTGTGGGAGGCCCGGCAGCCCCCTCAGCAT